TCTTTGTCTTCTACACATGTGCCAAAAAAACAAAGATGTCAACCATCCTCCAGTGCCTCAGAATGTAATTTCTTCATTTTTCTCGATCTTTACTTATAATTAAGGTTGACAAGATAAACCCAAGATTTGTGACATCCTGAATTGCATTGTAAATTTTCAAGATAATAATTCAATGCTCACCATTGGCCATCTAGTAACTGATATATTTTGGAAGTTCTTGGTACCTTCCTTCTCATTGTTATAGGATGTACGAAGTTACTGGTAATGAAATGTGTGATTGCAACCAGTACAGAAAATGTATGACTTGCCAGAGGAGTTTCATTTCAGGAAATGACGTTTCTGTAGAATGTTCTTTCCACATACTCAAAATAAAACAGCAATCTTACATGAGACTCCAAAACATAACCTCACTCAAGTGAGAATATGCAGGTCAAGGTATCTGAGAAAAAATGTTTTAAGTACAGAAAAGTAAACTCTTTTTTATGATACTATCCCTGTGAGACATGTCCCTTGAGGGTAAAAACTACTGAGTTAATGTTTACAACTAAGTTTGGATCTTTTAAGTTTCAAACTCCCATTCAGTTTATAATGTCCCACCAGGGAGTATCTAATTCACAGGGTAGAGTTTTCACTAATCCCCTTTGTTATCATTATGCTCTGTTCCACTCTACAAAGCAGTATTCAGAGAACTGCACACTTTCCATTTGCAGCTTTCCTATGTGCATCAATGACTGCAGTAATAAACAATAGACCACAGGTTTAAAACACTACTAGATAGATTGATGGATAGATAGATAGATAGATAGACAGACAGACAGACAGACAGATAGATAGATAGATTAAAATCTACAGATTAACTAAGAGAATGGAAATAGGCATTCAAGTAGTACAAATTTACATCTATGCCTTTCCATTTTTTAACAGTGTGGACATGGACTTCAGTGACCATTGATTATGTGTAATTATACTGGCATATACTTATTTTGTGTATAATTAATAAATAAACAGACTAATTGAAAATTATTTGAAGAAAACGATATGAATTTTGGATTGGTGGTAGACTTCTTGATTAGGCTACAAAAGACTGTGGAATCAGTTCATATAGTTTACATATAAAGATGATGTAAGTTGCTTTTCTTACCACATGTATTCTGACAAAACATAGAGACAACTTTAGGCAAAATATTTATTTAGTATCAGAATTTCATTGGATTTTTGTTTACCTTTGCAGAGAAAGCACAACACTAGAGAAGCTCCGTTTGACTATAGTAGCAGAAATATGCAGAAAACACAACTTACATACAGTTGAACATACTATAGAGAGCTTGAGCCAGAATTCCAAGTTGATATAAACTTCAAAGCCTTCCCATGTTAACCTATGTTATCTAGTGGGGTGACAATCACCCAAAATGGTACAACCAGCTTACTAAATTCGCATAAACTAATATGAAAATAAATTCACGCAAACTCTTCAGATATCTGAAAATTTCCAACAAGGCCACACATTTGTATAGCTTCTGAGGAAATATTCTAAATACTTATATAAGTAGTCTATAAGCATATACATCATGTGATCTAATGAAGTCACCATATCTTTGGCAAAATCTTCTATATTCAATGAAATATCATGAATTGTAGAAAAAAAAGAAAGAGAAATACCAAAAACATTTCTGAACAAATGTTACTGATAACGTATCCCCTGTTTCTTTAGTTGACGATAATATAAAGAAATTAGAAAAATGATAAGTAGTACATTCAAGTATATCTTCAGGTCCATAATGGAAGAACTTTTCTACTTCTTTCTAATATATTCATTTAATAGCATATCAAGTCAAAAGAATACATACAATAGTGATTGCAGGACAATAAAAGGTGGTGATATTTCTCTCTTATTTAAAAATTTTTGTTTGAAAATGTAATATTATCTGGTTCTTTAATTTATGTTTGTATCATTGCCTTTTAAGCAGGCTATCTAGAAAGGCAGAAAACACTAGTGAAATATTTTAGACATCATCTACATAACTGAATATGCTTGAGATTTAATTTGAAGACTTTCTGTACTATTCAGTTCCATGTTGGAAAAATACCTACAGCTGGAGGAAGATAGATCTCATAGGCAAAGTAAACAATTATTGCAAATTTCCATGGACATAATGGCTTAAGTAATCTAACATTGAGATTTTAATTTGATTTATTACATATAAATATTTTCAAATATTAAAACTCGTTTAAATTTAGAAGATTATTATAATATGCAATTAATTTAGAATCATATATCACAACTGTCTATAAGCATGAATTAATATTAGAAGGTCAGAAGTAAAGAGGTAGTACATTAATGTGTCTAATACAAAGTATTCTTAAAAAGCTACAGGCACTGGAATTCTACCATTTCCACTAACTCTTCACAGTAGATTGCAGTGTTTCACAGTAGATTTTACCCATTCATGAGACATAAACACAACACAACTACTGATTTGTCACTATGTGATAATTATCTAGAAATTCAAATTCAGCTTCAGAACATGTAATTCTCCAGATGAATTTGAATTTAGATAGCAAAAATGGCAGTAGTTGAAAGAGTCATACTGTGGCAGTCTTTTAACATTTCTCACTTGAGGCTACAGGAAATTTACATAAGCAAGGGGCATTAATTTCATAACAAAAGTACCCATAATCTTAAGGTGCCCAGTCAGATTATGCAATAGGTATATGTCATATCACATTTTATTATCCAGGTGTACTTTTTATGAGTATGCAGAATTGGTCTTATATTATTCTTTCTGGAAATATTTCCTCTCACAAACTCTCTCTTTTATTTTGAATTCTGGTGTGTCATTACATTCAGTGAAGGAAGGAGGTGGACTAAGCACCAAATTATCAAATTAGTTCAGTAGTGAAGCACATATTCTTATGAAGTATAAGCTTGTTTATCTCATGGTTAAGCATCCTGACATTCATTCTGATAAACAACCCATCCTTTCTAAAGATAACCCTCAGCAGCAGAAATCAATAAGGAAGCATTTCTCCAATTTTCAACTTTACAATTGGAACTGGGTGAAGATATGGTCCATCCTCAGACAAGGAAATTTCTCAATCTGTTGCCTGGCTTTTCCCTTCTCTGGTGTCCTTGAGCTACTATAAGGACAACAATTAAAGAGATTATATAAGACATGTTTTTTTTCTTATTCTACTGTATAGATCAGCATAAGGTTTAATGACCAAACAGTCATTAAGAGTTCATTCTCCCTCCTGCTTTTCAGCAATCTACTTTGAGGAACTGTTGGTAGCTGTTTACACATCTTAATGTATCTGTACACTTTAATCCAACTCAAAGTCAAAACCATATAAAAGTCTTAAAATATTGTCTCTAAGATCATATGGGAAAACAAAGGTGGAAGGAATTCATCTGGCTGAGATTGACGATTGCTGAGTTATAGGATCTAAGGGAATAATCCACTTACACATAGAATAATAACAGCTCTAAAGAGTAAATATCACTATTCTGCTTCCCAACTAACCCAGTGCTCTGCCAACATCTAGACCCAAAGCTTCATGTCTACCCAGCCACTGTCTTTATGAAATTAGACTTGGACAGGGTCAGCATTAAGGTTCCAAAGAATTTCTTGTCTCAGATCTGGGAATTGTTGGTTCATCATAACACTCTCAAAGCCTGCAGTGGCACAGTGATCAGGCTGCCTATGTGGATACTAGGTCCTCCCCCTCTTTCAGGCTCATTCTGAACAATTCTCTAGCTCTCTCTGTCACTGCACAATTCTCTTTCTATCCTTCTTTCTTTGTATTTATTGGATGCAGAGTGAGCTAAACACTAGGATTTGTATTATTAATTATATCACTTAAAACAACTTAAATACAGACAAGAGAAAATAAGAATTATATTACGACTATATTACGAACATTACACATTACACAGACATTCACATAGATGGGGATTATGTTTGGTTTGGCATGAATTGGAGGGAGTGATTCCTAGAAATAAGCAAAGAAAAAATTACATACCCACATTTAAATAAAAATTCCCTTTGCTTAATGTTTTGGCCATAAACATGTGTATTTGAACATATTTTTAAGAAGTATACATATTTGTGTGCACATGTGTGGTAACAATCAAAATTAAGCATATATAAGTCCTATTACTTTATCCTGTCACCTGTGGTTTCTTTTTCAGAAGTAAGTAGAATGTGAAAGCATTATCCTTGTTACATTGCAAAATAAAAATTACTTTAGACATTACATGCTGTTACTGTATGGTTTCTAAAAGTAATCAGTCCCTATCAATAGTCCAAATGCAGTGACAAATTTCATTGTGTTTATAAAAAAACAAACTTTTACAAAAAAACCACTGTCATTGGTAATGTTATTTAAATGGTCTGGATAAAAAAAACTAGTTCAAACTTCATTAATTATAAAATTGTCTAGTACTACAAGAAAGCATATAAGGTCATTTTTAATAATGAGTTATAAACTGCCAAATAAGAAAAATCATGAAAGGCAGTAAATAATGCCAGAAACTTTGACAACATTACTTTGGCCATAATTTAGTCATATATTCTCTCTTTTTCTGAAATATACAAGTGTTTTTTAAAGACCTCAAATAAAAAAATTCTATAAATTCTGCTCTGAAAACAGGAAGACAAGTAAACTTAATAGAAAGGACTCATCTTGCATGCATTCCTTAGCTACAGAAGTACATAGATAAATAGTAGACAGAGCTGTCTTAAGATATAAAATAAGTCATCACATGCCTCTACCTTGTACACAGATGAAGCTAGATCTGTATTAAGGCTGTGTATCTAGATAAAAATACTTTCCTATTCCCACATAAGAAAATCAAGAAATTTTCTGAAGGGAAGAGAAAAAATAATAAAGTGGAAATCTTGCCAGAATATAAGAAAGAAGGTGAACAGAATGAAGGAAAATGTTGAAAAAGTTGTGATAAGAAAATGAAGTGTTGAAAAGACCCAAATTGGGGCCCTGGGTTAGGGCAGCCCCAGTGGTTGTCTCACTGTGAATCTCCTCATAGTTCTCTTTAGAGCAAGCTTGACATCCTTATTCCTAAGACTGTAAATAAAAGGGTTCAGCAAGGGCAGCAAAAATGTGCAAAATACACTGAGTATTTTGCCCTGATCCACAGATTCCTCAGAGGATGTTTTGATGTGTGTGAGCATACCAAATCCATAAAACAGGGCAACAGTTATTATGTGAGAACTGCAGGTGCTCAAGGCTTTGGACAAACCCTTACCTGATGACAATTTAGTGACATTAAAAAGAATGAAAGCATAGGACATTAAGATGACGAGGCTAGAAGCAATGACTACGGTGCTGACAATAACAGAACTCACAAGCTCATCCACATAGGTACTGCTGCAGGAGAGCTGGAGAAGGGGGAGGATGTCACACATGTAGTGGTTTATGATGTTAGAGTCACAAAAGTTGAGACGTACCATACACCCTGTATGGACAACGGCACCAACAAACCCCATCAAGTATGAGCCAAACATCAGCAGGGGACATTTCCTAGGAGACATGATGACCATGTACAACAGGGGTTGACAGACGGCTACATATCGATCATAGGCCATGGCTGTCAGCACATAACACTCAGAGTGAGCACAAAAGCCAAAGAAAAACAGCTGAGTCATGCATCCTCCAAAGGAGATGGTGTTCTTCTCTGAGACAAAACTCATTAGTGTTTTTGGAGTAAACACAAATGAATAACATAAATCAATGAAGGATAGATTACAGAGAAAAAAGTACATTGGGGTCTGCAGGTTTGAGTTTAGGTAAATGAGACTCATTAAACTCAAGTTTCCCACCACAGTTATTACATAATTCACCAGAAACATGACAAACAGGGGTAGCTGGAGCTCTGGTTGGTCTGTCAATCCTGTGAGAATGAATTCAGTCACTATAGAGACATTCTTCATAGCCATTTGTTTCAACAGGATGATATCTGTAGAAAGAGTAGTGAAGGGTCACATTAACAAGGAACTCTGTCACTGATTCCAAAAGGACAGCTAGAGCCAGTTACAAATTCACTCTTACATTATGTCACTGAGCAAAGCACGCAAAGAAAGTCGCCTCACATTCCTAAGAAATCCCCATTTCCTCTTTTCCTATCCATGATAACCACCTACTCTGAGAAAACACTGACAACCATTTAAACAACCATTTCCTCCTACCTTGTTACTCTACCTTGGAGATAAAAGGAGAAATAAACCCCCACTGTCGCCTGAACACATGATTTACATAGCCTTTATATTTCGAGAATGAATCAAATTCTATCTTCTGTTGACCTGAATATCTCATTGCTGTTGGACCACTCAGGCCCTTTCTCTCCAGTGTCCTAAGATTTCTGTATTTCTGATAATGAAGTGATGTTAGCTATCAATACAAAGCTGGCTCTCACCTCCTAAAAAATATATGCCAGGGATATGACATGATTTCAATTTAAGAATTTCTCTCAAATGTTATATTTATTTGTTCAAAGGAAAATAATGATCTCATATGTGCAATCAATACGTTATTTGCCTCAAGCAAGATTATTATAAACTAGCATTCTAGCAAAAAGTATCAGAAGTTGTATTAGTCAGGGTTCTCTAGAGTCACAGAACTTGTAGAATGAAAGGATATACAGATATATACATATATATGTATACATACATATATATATGGAAATATATTGAATTGACTTACAGGTGGCAGTCCAACAATGACTAGTCATGAATGGTAAATCCAAGAATCTAGTAGCTGCTTAGTCAGACAAGGCTGGGTCTCATATAGACTGCTGGGCTCCCCAAGAAGGAATAGGTGTGGTGACAAGATGAGGACAAGCAGGTAAGGAACGAACCCTTACTTATTCCATTGTCTTATACAATGTTCCAGTAGAAGGTGTGTCCCAGATTGAAGGTGTGTCTTCTACCCACACTATCTAGATTAATAATGGCATGTGTATTCCTGCCTCAAGATCTAGATCACAAGTGTGACCACATTTCTGGATTATTGTTTAATCCAGTTATAGTAAGCTGACAACCAAGAACAGTCTTCAGAAAAGTTAAGAAAACTATTCTATCCTTGAGGACACCCCCAGGTTGAGTGAGTCCCTTAAGGGTAGAAATAACATAGCCAGTGTTTCTATCATGTAACAAGGATATAAACGCTCTCTATTTTGAGACTCAAACTTCTGCTTAGTTTGTAATTTCCCCCCAGGAATACCCAGTTCCCTGAGCAAACTACTGGGTTGTTCCCTTCAGAATTCTACTCATTATTCCCTGTAAAATTCAGCAAGAGAAAAATCAAGGAACATACTTACTTTTCATTTCCAGTAAATTTCCACAAATCCTGGCAGTTGCATCAGCAACTATTAGTTCATAGATGAACATTATCAAAAAAAAGTTTTTGAAACAAAAATGTTAAGAAACAGGAGTGGGCACTCAAAAAAGATTTTTCAAATTCTCACTGATGAAACTATATAGCAAAGTTATAATTTTATAGCCTTGTCAATTTTATTTACATATATATACTTGTCTAGACATCCATAAAATATGACTCCTAAAACAGGGTGTAGGATATAGCTCAGAAGTAGAATCCTTACTTCACAAGCATACACTTCTAGGTCTAATCTCATCATTGTAATAATGATAATAACAGGAATATGAAACAAGACAAAAAAGCTACTGTATCATATTATTGTTTTAATTAAATTTAATGATCCACATAATGTAGCATATAAGGTATGTAAAAAGGTGTAATTTCCCCTCTCTATTCCATATCTTTATACACATAAAGCAGGATTTCTATCCTCATCACAATGCACACAGAGGAAGTAAATATATATTGTATTGCTCTCATGGGTAAGAGAATGAAGATCATGCCTTGGCCCTGATCATTATTGCATGCCAATATTATAATCCACATCATTGCCACCTACAAACCAGTCATGAGCAGTAATATTTCTCTAGATATTGTAGTATATTTCATGAACACTAATCAAGAATAGAAAAGGATGTGCTGGAAACAAATAGTCCTATAGCTTTGATATTTTCTGAGGAGTAGCCTGGTCTTATTCTAATAAAATAGAACTTGTAGGTATCTTGATCTTTCTCTAATGCAGCTGTTCAGACTCTGCTCTGAGCCTTTCCTCTGCTACAGCAGATCATTGAAACTAAGAACTTCCATAAGCTTAGCTATAGAATATAGACTCATTCCCCATGAAATCAACCATAAAAAAAGAAATACTTTTCTTTCCAAATCTGTGCCTTTATGTGTGACTCAGATGACCACAAAGAAATTGTTCTAACTTCCCTAAATTATGGGGAATCAATAGATAGCCATTCCAGAAGGGGCATTGGCATGTACTCAGGAAGAAAGAATATGGCACAAAATGGCAAACAAAAATCAGAATATACAGGCTAACTGGGTTCTGTGTTCCAAGCTAGTGATTAGTCCCTACCTTTCTGTAAAACCTCAATTATAGATAGTCTTTCAGTGTCTCTCAGTCCTAACCATAACACCGGATTCTTTTCTTGATCTAAGGTTTTGTTTGCAATAGTTCCTATTTCATGAAAAACCTTGAACAAGTTAATCTACTACATTTTTCTTTTGTTAATTTGTCCATAGGGGCAACCAGCTTTGGCTAAGGCCTAGAGTAACAGACTTCTAGAGTAGCAGTCTTCTAATTTATCTCCTGCAAGCACAGTAGGACAGCAAGTCCAAAGTTAGCGGAAGAAGTGGGGGCAGTCCTTTGCCCAAGAGGCCATTAGCCAAGGAGAGAAAGGACTCCAGAGGGAGTGGCAACGGTGCCCATCATTTTCTCAGGAATAGCTTGTAGATGTCAGGAGCAATTGTGTCTCAGGTCACACAAGCACTAATACTAAAACATTTGAATGCCATATTCTGCAAGTCTATGAAGTGTTTGAAGATCAAAATCAATGTCTCACTCATCCAATACATATAAGAATGTGAGTGAAAATATCTGTAAGTTTCAGAAAGATAGTTGTACAGTGGATTAAGCTTCCCAAAATAATTTAGGAAGGATCAAGGTTACAGCAATATTACTATATACACACATATATGTGAATCTCTAAAGCAGAGGTAGGATTCAAGTGTCTTAAACAGAGGTAGAACTGTATAGTGCTACATGATAAAAATATACTAAATTGTGTCACTATACAAAATATCTTAAACATATGTGAAACCATAAATACATATAATATGATTAGGATATTTGTGCACCAAACATCGTAAATATAAAAAAGACCTTACACAGTATGACAAAATGTAATATACAAATTATCCAAGAAAGAATACAACTTGATCATACAAGTTACATCATACAAGAATCTATAACAATGTGAGTTGCCTATAGCTAATAATTACTAAGGCAAATCATAAGAAGATATATTAATCTACCTACATCCCATGCTAAATAGACTTTTCCCACCCATACCCTAAACTTATCTAAAAGAGATAACCAGAGTCTGCACACCCCCTATCCATACCCAACCCTAAACAACTTAAAACCAACCCTAAACAGGTGTATGTTTTCCCTTAAAGTCAACAGTAGGGAAAGGGGGCACTGTATTAGAATTAATTCCTGCTGAAATGGGATGATGATAACCTCATTGGGTGCTATAATAAGAAAATTTTTAGAATAACTAACGTCTCAAGTTCGAACGTGGGAATCAAGATTCGTTAAGCCCAGCACAGGTTAAAAGGTTTATTCAGAGAAATAACACTTACATAACAGGTGAGTGACATCCCCAGCTTCCTGCTCCAAGGATTCTCTCAGGCTGTTCTTGATCAGTCCAGCAGCCAGACAGTGAGAGCACCCCTCCTAGAGCCAACTGAAATCTTCTGCTCCTGTAGACACCTGTGACTATGCCCAAATTGGCGTGGTCAATGCCATAGGTATATAGTTAGATCTCTCTCTCTCTACAAGCCATGCTTACTGTCACAACTCTGCAGAATTTCTTGGTCCATGTCACCACCGAGAAGCATGCAGGCAGCTGCTTATAAACGCCTTTAATTTTAGACAAAAAAAGTGGGATATGTGGCAATAACTTGCTAATACCAATAAAGTCTGTCTGAGGATCAGAGAATTGAGCTTGCCACTAGCTAACCATTGAGATCTGGAAGTCTTTACAGACAGACAGGAAGTGAGGTAGCTGGGGAGAAACAAGATATAAGTGGGAGAAACAGGAAATTGTTCTCTTGTCTGCTGAGATGTTAAGGGGGTAAGGTGTAGCCATGGCTTCCTCCTTCCCTTTGATATCTGTCTTAGTATTTCCTTCTTTTCTGACTATCTAGTGTTTTACTTACTAGGCCAATTAAGAACTCTATTTACACTCCTGTCAGAATGGCTAAAATCAAAAACACCAATGACAACTTATGCTGGAGAAGATGTGCTGAAAGGGAAACATTCCTCCATTGCTGGTGGGAGTCTCAACTTGTACAGCCACTTTGGAAATCAGTATGGAGATTTCCTCAGAAAATTGGGAATAAACCTACCACAAGATGCAGCAACTCCACTCTTAGGCATATATCCAAAAGATGCCCATTCATACAACAAGGATGCCTATTACACTATGTTCATAGCAACATTATTTGTAATAGCCAGAACTTGGAAGCAACCTAGATGCCCCTCAACCGAAGAACGGATAGAGAAATTGTGGTACATTTACACAATGGAGTACTATTCAGCAGAAAAAAACAATGGAATCCTGAAATTTGCAGGCAAATGGATGGCACTAGAAGAAACCATCCTGAGCGAGGTAACCCAGTCACAAAAAAGAGAAACATGGCATGTACTCTCTCATATATGGATTTTAGACATAGATCTGGGGAGTGCCAGCCTACAATTCCATGGCTAGAGAGTCTGGGAAACAGAACCTTCATTTAGTGGCTGATGGAAGCAAAGGCAGACTCCCACGGCTAAGCACTAACC